TGCATGCACCCTCCCCCAAAGGGCAAATATGTTCTGTTCACTGCTGAACTAAACTATGCCACTTACAAAAAAACCACGGAATCTATAATTTAGATAGATTCCACCTTGGGCTTTTTGAATGTCCATACCTAGCCTAAAGGAGCGCACCCAGAGAGCCCCATATTATCTCCAACCCCACATAGAGTCTTCCCACACAGTTAATGCGGGTGCTAATCAGGAACATACAGATTGCCTTCAGTTAATCTTAAACACAGATTATCAACCTGCTTTAAATGCACACCTTTTTAAAGCCTGGCTCTTGCTACTCCCCTTAGTTTCTCTTCTCCCTTGCTTCTCAGCTGGGGCTGCACAAGTGAGAGAAGGGAAAGGTCACCCTGGAATCTTTTAACACATGCAGCAATCTAAAGAGACTCTTTCCCCTCCCATCAAGCCCAGGAGCAGCTGGGAGTGTCTGACCCCCTTTCGTGTATTTCGAGAAGCTGCAGTTCTCCAAGCAACAGAGCAGAGCACTTCAGGACTCTTAACAGGAGGGAATGAGTGGGAATTCTGAACATGTAGGAGGAAATCACTCTTCAGTGCATGGATTCAGTCTGATTGGCTATTCATCCCCAGCAGCTGGGGAAATAGGGAAGGCAGCCAATCCAAGAGGCATGTATCCAAGAGACTGGTAAGAGGGTCTGAAAAAAGCTGTGAAGCAAATCCTGTAAAGTTGGAAGCCCTTGAGCTTGATGTGTAGACATGAATATTTATCTTGAAATATTAAAAGACTGACCTTTGGCATGTTAACTTCATATAAATCCAATCTTTCCAAATAGTTCTAACAGATGTGAGCAGTCCCCACAACTTTGCTAGGACAGCTTGAGGTGTATTTTATCTGATGTGTAAAAGCCATCCATCCAAAAGGACCTAAGTAGGATTGATGTTGTGCATATGCCCTTAGCACAAGAGTGAATTATATTACCTATTATTCACTTGAGATACATGAGAGAGGCTTTGCTGCATCAAGTCCTGTGCACACAACTTTACCCTCAGTGATGGACACCAGGAGGCATTTAATAGCCAGTGTTCTGTATTTAGAGAAGAAATTACTTCTTATTTTTCAGTGCTTACATTTGCCCTTAAAGAAACCTAGGAAATTAAATATTAAACCACAGTGTTAAGACTGCATGCACAGTTAGGCACTCAGAAGTCAGAAGGCAAGGATGAATGCATAGACTTAACTTGGCCTCTTTGTGCATTACGAGACAATTTCTTTACTGAAATCTTGAATTTTCTTAGTTATGCATGTATGTACATTTTTAGAAAGTATTTCAGTTTATAATACTGTAACATGTACTAATCGTAGTTGATAATCATCTAGGGAAGGTATTTAAATAAGGATTGTACGTCTTTACTGCAGACTGGGGTTAAGCAAGCTATTAGAATCAGTCATAGGCTGTGTGATGCAGTTAGAAAATATAATCACAATCACCTCCTGGTATCTAACAAGGTACCACATGACTTTATAACTAAATATCCTCCCCACACTCTCAAAAAAAAAAGGGGGGGGGTGTTACTCATGACAAAATATGCCTACCCATTCTTTTCAACAAATATACTAAAAAATACATGATGAAAAAACACTTTCCTCTCTGATTTTGAGCTACTTAATCTATAAGGTGCAAATCTACTCTGGCTTCTAACTATATCTTGCCTCTCAAATGAACAATAAGTGATTTTTAAATTTGAAAGAGTGATTTTCTTAAAATGGATAGAGCAAGCAATTCATTTCAAGCAAAGTAATTTTAATAATATTATTTCAGGCCGCTTGTAATACACAGAATATGTACTGTATTGGATACACAAATATGCTAATGAATACTCATTGCAATCCACTTAAATGAATAGGCAGGAATAAGTCTACCACAGCATCCCATCCCATCCCTTAAGTACTTTTCTTTTTATAGGATGAAAGTGGCTGTTTGAATAATTACAGTACTGCTGCAGATTCTATGTGATCTCTAATTTTCCTATTGCTACCCTGGTTTTGACATGCAAAACAAGATACAAGAGACTATGCTGTCAATCTGACAGAGGCCACTGAAATACAGAATTAAAGCTGTTGTATTTTTCACACTTGAGAGAGGAATGGACTCCAAGAATTACATTTCCTGGCAATTCCCAGTATGTGTCCAAATTAAAGTGATCTGAATGCAGGGACTTATTGAATTTTTTTTTAAATATTAAATTATTTTATTAGAATTAATCATCTGACTAGTCATATTGTATCTGCAACTGTATCCTGACATAAATATTGAAGGACAGTCAGAAATCATTAAAAGAAAAATAAGTATCTGTAACATGAACTTATTGTGAATTTCACACACTGTAAATAAGTTTAAAAACAAACCATCCAAAACACCCTATTATCTTGATAAAAATGGTTAGTCTTACCCAGTGCACAAAAGGAAATTAATTGGTCTAACAGCAATGAGAGATAACACTGAGTCTGTGTGAGTTTTAATGAATACTTATATACAGAACAGGATAAAAATCATAGCAAAATTTCACCTTTATACTCTTCACTTCATTTTACTTACCATCAGTTCCTATTTACTTTTAAGTTCAACACAAGGCCAGAAAAGACAGGAGAAAACATTGAATATTGAAGAATATTTCTTTCTTAAAGCATTAGTTGTATGTAATTTTAATGGTGTTAGATTACAGAAACTGATGAGGCATAAACTAGTTAGCTTTACAGTGTTCAAACACTGTTAATCTTAAAAGACCACAGGCTTCAAATGAGCAGTCTTCAATCAATTTACAGAACTCCATCATTCTTTATTACTGAAGATGTAACTGCCTTGGTTGCAGTGTCTTGCTCAGGGTACACATACGTGCCCTGCCATGAATTTGCTCTTTGAGGAGGTTGTGCACTATGGCCATTACTCAGTCTCTCTGCAGGTTCTGGAGATTTCTCCTGCCATCTTGGACTTGCCTGCTCTTGAGACACTTTCCATACAGAGGGGCATGAGGAGGTCAAATTCAGAGTGGATCTTGAGAGGCAGTTCTCTTGAAGACCCTCTTCTTGAAGGCACCTGTTTGAAAGCACTTCTTTTTCTTTGGAGTTTCGCCATTTCATCCTTCGGTTCTGAAACCAAATCTTCACCTGTTTACAGGTTAAAAGGAGATTTTACTGATTTTTAAAATCAACCTTGCCTTTATACTTTTCTTTGAAGCCCTTAATTTTATACTCTCCTTTCTGGGTCTATTGAAATCCAAAGCAGTGGAGTCCCAGTGAAGTCTGTGGAATGGTGTTGATTTACAGTCAGCTAAAGGTCTTTTTATTTACAACAACCTCCCTCTATTTGGACCACCTCTGAAGAGATGAGGAGACATCTTAATAGATTAGAAAGAAGGCACATTAGTGCCTAAGAAGATAGCAAATTTCCACAGCATCATCTCCTCAATCTACAAGGATTCCCAATTAAAATAAAAGTGTCACAGTATAAGCTATTTATGGTGAGATTACAAGTGCTAATTCTAAGGAATGTTGGTGTATATTAAGGTGTAATGCTAGTGATCAATCAGTCACACTTTTGGAGTTAATACCCAACCTAATGTGCACTGCTCAGGCCTGCCACTAGAGGGCTGGCGAGCACAGACATGGCTAGGAACTGCACATCTTTTCCATGCCCGCCCTGCTTGCTGACTATCTAGCCACAGGACAGGCTGAGGAGGAGGGAGGGAAGGCCTGCCCCCCATGCCACTTGAATTTTTCCTTCCACACCCCCACCCCAAATCCCCTCACTGCCCCCCCATCAGCCCTTGGATCCAAGCCAGGTAGCACAGCTCAAAGATAATCCTTGCCCTAAATGGTATAACTTTAAGAGGCCTAAAGAGCACTTAGCACTTCTTAATGAACTTTAATGCGTGATCACTCAGGTCTCAAGTGCTCTTAACATGATCTAATTGCAATGTGTAATCTCACCCAAAGAAACTCACAGGTATGTTGGGCATCAATAATGCAGATGCCACTAGCTAGTTCCCCAACCCACTGATTTCAGTATTAAGCTGATACAAGCACTGCTGATTATTTTGTGCAGGCACCACAGGTTTTAGCTTTTCTTACCTCATTAATACTCATATGAGCCTGACCTCAGCCTCTGCTCACTGTTCACACCTTATTCAGATTCCTTTCCTTGTTATACCAACTTCCTTATTTCTACAGACCTTATCTCATGGGACCCTGAACATGTGTTTTATTTAGATCGCAGTAAGTGTAACTAAGAATTAGACCGTGTTCAAAGCCAGGGGTACTTGGGAAGGCCCCAGAGGGTACACGGCAGCAGTGCAGAGAAGTGGGGCCACCAGCACTTTGTGCCACTGTGCGCCTCTGATGCTTTTATTTTTGCCAGCACTGCATGCTGCTGCCGCCACGCACCACCAGCACCTCCAGTTTTGTCACCGTGAGCACACAGGACCCCCTTTTCCCTGCTCAATCGACCGCCAAGGGATCCCGCTCCTCTGCCACTCATCAACTGGCCACCAGGGGACTCCCTGCTTCTCAACCAGTCGCTGGCGGTACACCAACCAAAAAGGTTGAAAACCCCTGTTCTAAGCAGTTGCACAGTACTGCTTACTAGGATCTGGATACGTGCAGTCAACACACAGCTGTTTGTCAGCCCCAGCTGTTTATCAGTGTCTTAAACTGGCTCTGCTGAGGTCTCAGGGGTAGGATTGACAAGGTTTTTTGTCAGTCCCAGTCCTACCACCATAACTCATCAGAGCCTGCAAGGGCTGCTCATATTATCTCTGTGGGGCAGTCCTGCACCAGATGACCATGTGTTACTCCTGTGAAAAGTACTAACTCTATTACACTATGATAGCACTTACCATGTGTTTTACTGCTTGAAAGTAATGGACATTGGCATTTTAAATGCAGTTAATGTGTCTCAAGTGTAACATAAGGCCCTAAGAAAGACCTAGTTACTAGCACAATACTGAAAATGACTGAGATGAGCTAGAAGAATTAATCATTCACTTCACTATGCTGGATAATTTTCTGACTGCCAAATAAAACCCCATATGTAAATTAGACTATACCAGTTTGACAGTAAAGTATAGTGACTTCCCCACAGCAATATGAACTCTTCAACTTAAAAGAAATTATCATGGCTACTAGTGTAATTGTCCATCCATATGCCATCATCTTCTCAGCTGCCTTACAGCTGCCTATGGTACAGGCATAGTACAGGTACATCACTAATTCAGCCTGCCACTGCTTACAGGTAGGCAGCTGTAGGGTAGCTGAGAAGAAGATGGCATATGGATGGAAGAATCGCATTCCTGTTGGCAGTCGGGCCAGAAGACAGAGTAGAAGTGTTATCTTTATGATTGCAGGTCCCAGGGATCTTCCTGAAGGGGGCAATCCTTTTCCCATTCCTTAGATGACAAATCGTGCCCTCAAAGGATGCCACCTGTCAGAGCTCTAGAAATCAACATTCTTGAAATCGCCTGGCTCATATATGGGGAATCTGGCAAGGGGTGATCTAATCCATCATTAGTATTAGTAGAAGTATTAAATTGTCCTTCTTTAGTGTTAATAGCTACCTCCCTCTTAGACCATTATGTCCTAGTTCCTCCCTCCCCAGTCTGATTTTCTATCCAGAACACAAAAGAGTGTAAAAAGGAAATAACTGCAATGTTCAATGCTTGAGTACACACTTTGAGCATTCAAAACAGCTCACCAGAGAGTGTGACCGTCAGCCTGAAAAAGAAATAGTTTACCCTATGGAGCTTGCTATGCTGCTCTAGTTATTAAACTGAAAAGGGTCATAGTCTATGCACTCTTTACTCTTTATGGCTGTAGTGATAGTAAAGTATCACTATAAAACTTCTATACAATACAGACCTCCACCACCACTCTCAACCTTTCCTGCCCATCAATCTTCTTCCTCCAACAGCTTTGAGCCTTCTCTTATGTCCTTAATGCATACATTAAAAAAAATCAGTGCAGCCACAACCTTAGCCTCTTTCAGCTCCATACTTAAGGCTCACATCTTCCACAATGCTTTCAAAACCTTTCCTGCTGCCATCACCAGGTTGATTTTCTTGCTTGTTGTATCCTTCCTCCCTGGCTTGGGTATGCATATTCCTTAGAGTACATAAATTCTGTGGCAGGCAGAGTCACTTTATCTGCATTAGAATGTAGCCCACTGTACAGTACTGGGATCAGACCTGACAGGAAAATAAAGGCATCATAAAGCAACCAATCAACCTGAATTTTGGGGTTGTGTCCGGGCATCCCTGCAGAGTCCCTGACCTGAAACTTTGAAAACTGTTCCAGAATCATCCCACTCCCTCCCCAAAAACATTCCTGCCGTGTCAGGCAGTGTTCTGCTATGTCTGCTGAGAGGACAAATCCAGCCCTACTGCTCCTGGTTCAGATGATAGCCGTGGGCTAACTCTTGAACTAGATGCAGAATAGCCATGTCCGAGCACCAATGTGCCAGGTTACCTTTGCTGTACTGCGCCCAGTTTTTGGCTCCACAATTCAAAAAGGATGTGGAGAAGCTTGAGAGAGTCCAGAGGAGAGCCACATGCATGATCAGAGGTCAGGAAAACAGACCTTATGACGAGAAACTGAGAGCCATCGGACTTTTCAGCCTGGAAAAGCACAGGCTCAGCGGCAACCTGATGGCCACCTACAAGTTTATAAAGGGGTGTTCACCAGGACCTGGGGGAACGTTTGTTCACCAGAGCGCCCCAAGGGATTACAAGGTCAAACAGTTATAAACTCCTGCAAGACCATTTCAGGCTGGACATAAGGACGAACTTCTTTACTGTCTGAGCCTCCAAGGTCTGGAATGGCCTGCTGCCGGAGGTGGTACAAGCACCTACTTTGAATGCCTTCAAGAGAAGCCTGGATGTTTTTCTTGCTGGGTTCCTATGACCCCAGCTGACTTCCTGCCCCTGAGGCAGGGGGCTGGACTCAATGATCTACCGAGGTCTCTTCCAGCCCTAATGTCTCTGAAATCTATGAAAAGCTAATTATCTTGCCCACAGTATCACACTAAAACAGCTACCCTAATCATCACAATTAGAAGTGGTATAGAACATGGGTCAGCAACCTGTGGTCTGAAGGCAGGACCTGGCCCATGTAGGAATTGTTTCTCACCAACAGAGCCAGGACAGCAGCCTTATGCAGTGGCATGATGTGTCAGCCAGTTCACAGGTGGCAGCCAGGTCAGAGGCAGCAGACCTCCTCAGACTAAGTGTCATTAATTCAGCCTGCCACTGCTTACAGGTTGCCAACCCCTGGTGTAGACCACTTCTGGTTCCTGTAGTCTGTGGAGCAACTGGGACTGTATTCTGATTTTTTTCCCCTGGAAAAAAAAACAAACAAAAAACCAGTCACTGAATGGTATAACGACATAATACATGCATTTAGTAATAGAACAACATGGTAGTGATATTAAACACCAAATTCTGAAGTTCTATTTTAGGTAGGTGTGTAAAGGAGTTGGGAACATCCAAATAGGGCACCTTTTGGACTAGTCTTTTTAGTGTTCCTCTCAGTTCCCCTCCAAGGGTCTCTATTCTCAGGCCACTGTAAGTTCTGTTGAGAGGTCTGCTATTTCAAGTTTGCTTTGACATCAGGACTCCAGTATGAGTTGTACTGCCATTAAAACAGTTCCCCCTGTGACTGCTCAGTAATATGTACAGAAGGTGCTAATAGAACGTAGTGCTGAGCTAAATTACCTCCTCCCTAGATTTCTGGGCAGAAAACTGGAAGCAGAGCAGAAGATGATTCCCTGCTCCTAAATCACTGAAGAACTTCATAGGGCAGAGCCCCAGAAATGGACAGTAGATAGAGTGATAGGAGTAGATGGTGACAGTGTTCAGAGCTGATTTTCCTCCACTTTGAAATGCAGATATCAACTTTTGAATGCATATCACCATGGAATAAATTAGGGACTCTCTGGGTATGCCTATACTGCTACCTAGGGCTACTATCTGACCTCTGGCTCAAACCCATTGACCATCTATGTTAAAAGCCACTTAGTTCACCCTTTGGTGGTAGCTCAGCCTGCCCCAGAAGCTCACCTCTGTGTCAGACCGAAAGGCTGGGTACAGACTGGGAACCAACTAGCTAAGCAGCAGATC